GAGAGAGAGAGAGAGAAAGAGAAAGAGAGAGAAATAATAATAATAATAATAATAATAATAATAATAATAATAATAATGAATAAATAATAACAATAAAAAAGGTTAAGTCACACGTGATTTATCTGAATTTAACAAATATCTCAGAAACATTAAAATGGTTAGCATCAAGTATGACCACAGAAGAGCTGCTCTCATCATCCTTATTTCTTTCTTTTTCTTTTTCGAAACTTGCGATATCTTCTCAACCTTCCACTTTCTTCAAATTCTCTCCAAGAATATTTGATCTCCATTTTGTTGAGCAATTCCTTCTTCTTCTTCTTCTTTCTGTTCTGTTCAATATATATATATATATATATATATATATATATATATATATATATATTGTTTCCTTTTCTCTTTTTTTGTCTTTTTTTTCTTTTTTTGAAGTTCGCTAGGTTAGCTTAGACGAGGAAACTTTTCAGTATCCTCAAACTGTGGTGCCACACTAAGAAAACCAGTAAATGTCTTCCAAAGAGACCGGTTTCGATGTTGGTACTTGTCATGAGCATTTTTTCCCGTACTCAACAAAATTTGATTTTGAAGAACTTCACGCTGCTGTCGTCGTTGAAATGATTCGGATTCACTTTTCAAACGTTCCATGAATGTTTTGAGTTTGTCTCTGGGAACTTTAGAATATCTTAGGATGAATGGATGTTGAAGTAATTTGTTAACAGACCAGCGTTGGTCAGGATCTCTCACAAGACAGCGTACAATAAAATCATGTAAAGCAGCTGACCAAGAGAGTGGTTTTACCATTCTTGATAGTTTTAAATTATTTAGATAGTTCCAGTAATCTGATCTAAATAAGTAACATGGGTTAACACCATTACTCAACTCAAGCAGCATAATACCTAATGACCAAACATCAGAAGCAGCAGTAAACTCCACTACTGGTAAATCATCTTCCACTTTTGTACAATCTAATTCATTCGTCAATCTTTCTGGTGCTTTATATAATTTAGAACCTAAATCAACACCTGTTCGACAAACTCTACGGGTTACAGGATCCATTTGACATCCACATCCAAAATCTGCAAGTTTAAAACACGTCTTGTTAAAATCAAGAAGTACATTAGCTGGTTTTAAATCACAATGTACAATAGAGTAATTTTCATGTAATTCCTTAAGTCCTTTAAGCACATCAGCTGCTAACATAGATAATATAATTTCAGGAACCGGAGTTTGTCTATCAATATTAGTTTCCCAATCTTCAGGAGTATTATAAGAACTTCTTCCTGTCAAATGCATACAAGAAGCAGATTGCTGTTTTAATAATTTTTCAGTTTGATTTTGAACTTGTGCTGATCCTGCAAGATGTTTACGAAAAGTAGATTGAGTCATTTTCATCATTTCATTTGGTGGAAATCTTGAAACCATACGTTGTGCATCTTCCACACTAAAACTCATTAATTCCATAAGTATATGAAGTTGTTGTCTCTCATGATCAAGTGTAGGAGCGGCATTAAACATTTTCATTAAATGTTCTGGTGGTGAACGATTTCGTTGTAAACGAATCATATTAAGTTCTTTTACAAGACCTCTTTTTCTACCTTGCCGCTCTGTAGGATCTGTAGTTTGAGTTACTTCTTTGACATCAATACATTTTAAGGCATATAATTTATCATCAAGCATAACTCTATGTACTGTCCCTTGAGATCCTCTACCAATAAAAGATAAAATGATAACGGCATCCAAGTCAAGAGATCTATTAGATCGTCCTACATCATCCGCTGAAAAGACTCTACTTGGCATTTTTCCAACCCCAGAAAAAGACTTACTACCACCATTATTCTTTTCAATAGGATATTGCACCATAGGTTCTGTAATTGCAGAAACTGAAGAAGAAGATGGTGTATTTCCTCTTGTGGGTGTTGTAACTGAAACTGGTGCTATAAAAGGCTTCAACAGATTCTTAAAATCACCTTTAGAAATAATATCAATAGGCAAAAATCCTTTAATACTAACCACTGAACCATCACTTAAAATTTCTTTTATTAAAGTACTTGATGGTATTTTTTTTCCATTAGAAAAAAGATCAACGTATTCCTTTGGAACATTCATCTTTTGAGTTGTTATCATATTCACTATTTCTCCTTTTTTTCGTGCTTTTTTCCCTACCCCTATTTTTCTGGTTCTTATTGATGTAGAAACCAAAGTAGATACACTAGTAGAAGATTTATGATTCACTGAAGTTGAATCTACACAGGGTGTAGTAGATGAGATACACATGTCATTACCCTCATCCTCAATCCCACGAATAGCCGCTTCCACAGAGTCCACAGCCGTTACGGAATTTGTTGGTTGTGGTTTCCATGCGGTTTTGGGAACCATCACACTTTCTCTTATTTCCCCTGGGCGATGTGGTGTTGCCTCCTCCTTATGCCCAGCCTTTCCTTCTGCAAACATAGATACACCATTCATTAATACGAAAAGATTGGTATTGTTTACATGAAAAAAGCGTGCAGGAAAGAGAGGTCCATCGGTTGTCACTATTGGCGATATACTCGTATCATCTACATTAATGAGGAGCTCATTCTTCTGCTGAACTTGCAGTTGTAGCTCATCTGCAATATCCGGCGGGGGAAGAGCAATAGAAAACTCCGAGGGTGGCGCACGCGATCGCCGCACACGCATTGCCCAACACCTATTGGAGTCCTTCCTCAACTAACACTTCCCAAAGTCTTCTTTCTTATCGTAGATCTTCAGGAAAGGTGCAAGGAAGGCTAAAAGCCCTCTCATAAACACACACAAACTAACACGCAGATAAATATATATATATATATAAAGAGAAAGAAACAAAAAAAAGGTACAAGGGAATCATTGGATACAACATTAATAATAATAATAAATCATCACTATATAATTCGCAACAGACACAACAACAATAATATTAACAAAAACAGTCAAATAGGATGAAGAACTTAAAAAAAAAAGGAACAGAAAAATATAATCGCGGTAAACTTAGCAAGTAGACTATGCCGTCATTGCAATTCAATACAAAATACCAAAATTCAATTGAGGACAGTAAAAAAAAAAAAAAAGAAAGCACGGCAGTTTCCTTTTTTTTTTTTTTTTTTTTATCTCTGATTCACCTTCAAGTTGCTCTTGATGATTTAATGTGCATTTCTATAAAAGCGTAAAAAAGTGTTCTTCTTCACCCAGCTCAATCATCATCTTCCTCTACAACAGATTCTTTTGTGAAAGTAGAACGTTCATCAAGAGAAGGAGGATTTAAGACGCCAAAATACCGTTCATACGGTATTGGTAAAGGATCCTGAGGTTTTCGCAGTTTTGACCTTGCTGATATAATCTCACTTGCACGAGTTTCACGCCGTTCCAACGCGGCAGTGTACCACGGGGCGAACAGAATCGCCGCAGGTGAAAAATTAGATACACCGTCATTTTTACCTCCCTTTGATGAGAAGGAGGATGGTTTGCCTGTTGTTGAGAAAGAATCATCTTGTTGCAAACTTGACGTCTCATCACCGTAACTTTTTTTCGAAGTACTAACTGTGCTCGACTGCACAGTATAATCATTATCAGAATCAGAATCTGTTACTGTGTTACTAGAAGAACACCCTTTTCGCCTATTATGATGATGATGATCATGTTGACGCTCTCGCATTAGGAGTTCATGTTTTCTTCTAGCAATATCTGACTCCAAAACAGGTTGTTCATTTAAATCCCAATGTTCAATGAAGCTCATAATACTTGGCCGAACACTACGGGAAATATTTACAAACATTTCACATTCAGCTAATGCAGCAGCAATTGTCCAGCCTTGATACCGCCGCATACATCCTACTACCACACTTGTTTGCAGTTCACCTGTAGGACAAGTGAAGAGAACAGGTTGAAAATCTCTTTGTAAAGCAAAATCCAGTGCATGTTGAACATCTGATACACAAAAATCATCCTTTGCCCAAGAGTACTCATCCATCCATCCAGTTAAATCGGCCGTACATACAACACGAATAGGAGCTACAGTGTGTCCCTCATCTTTCCTCGTACGAAGTCCATCTGCTGTAGACATAAAATCCGTACTTGCGAGGGCACGTGTGACAGGTGCTGGTAAAAGTTCAATAGATAATAACACAACTGTTTTGATACCAATGTGTTTTAAGTACGGTACACTAACGAGTGTTGGGTAGGCACTGCGGTATACGCCAGTTTCAACCATGGCGAAGTTTGGTGGAGGTGTCCATGCCTGGTGAACTGCACGTTGATACATGCAGCTGCACACACCTCTCTCCTTTAAATGCGGGGAAACTGGGAATATGTATATCAAACACAACCCTATCTTGACCACCACCCTACTGATGTTAAACAACCAAAGTAAATCAAAGCAAGAAAAAAAAAAAACAAAAAAAAAAATAAAATAAAATAATTAAATAGGGGAAAGAAGAGGAAAATCAGAAAGAAAAGAAAAAACAATAGTCTCCAGGTGGAAATATAACTCGTAAAGTACCAACCATAATAGTTATTCTTACGATGGTCTTTTTTTTTTTTTTTTGTTTTATTCTCTCAGTCAAATTTATGAGTTTATGCATCCTTCTTCTTCATCTTCATATTCTGCATTCCTCTTTTCGATGTTCTCTTCTCAGTTAGTAAATAATAAAACGAAGAGAGTTGTCGATTTTTACTTGAAAGAGTTCCCTCTCTCACACAAAAACTCTTCTTTTCTCCTTAAATAAAAAATCAATAAAAGAATCAAATAGGGGGTTTGGGGGGAAAAAATCCCTCCTCAGGGATATTATGAAGTGCCATTTCCAATGTAGATCAATCCCACATCACCATCTTCTCTCCTCCGTCCCCTTTTTTTCTTCTTCTTCTTCATCGCATTTTTCATCATCATTTCTTTCTTTCTCTTTCAGTTCTTTCTTTTCTTTTTTTTTTTCTTCTTTTCTTCTTGTGTTTGTGTCTCTGCAGACTCCGCACACTACTGCTCCTCCTCCTCTGGGTGAGTGACGATGACATCATCGACCTTAAGGATCATCTTCACCACTTGCGTGGCAAGACGCAGCTGTGAACATTTACCCTGAAGGGTTTCAAACACCTGCTGTTCCCGCATATCAATGGTGCCACAATCCATACAATCCACTCCAGCAAATGGGTTCTTCCCATCAACCTGAGCAAGGCGAGCCATTGAAAGAGCTTTAATAGGTTCAAGACCGCTATTGAGCGCTAAGTTGATAGGAATAGACTCCAGTGCATCAGCAAAGCTGCGAATAGCGTATTGCTCCACAGTAGACACTGAGTCAGCGTAGTTGAGAACAGCCGTGGAAGCAGCAATTTCTGCTGAACCACCACCGTACACGACACGATTGTCACGAATCAAATTACGTACCATACAAAGAGCATCGTGAAGAGAACGTTTTGCCTCTTCAATCATCATTTTGTTACCACCACGAATGAAAATGGTAACAGCCTTGCTGTGGGGGCAGTCCTCAATAAAAATCATACGATCCTTAGTAGTACCAAAACCAACCTCACGCACAATACCGCATGTTCCAAGCTTGGATGCGCTGATATCTTCAAAACGAGGAATAATACGTCCACCGGTAGCAATGGCAATCATCTCCAGCTCTACACCACCAACCCAGCGAACGGCAGGGAGGTCATTACGGAACAAAAGATAGTTTGCTTCATCATCAAATCCCCACTGGCAGATAACAAGTTCAGCTCCTGCATCCTTGCATAATTGTACTTGTTTACGGAAATATTCTTGCTCTTGTTCGTGAATTTCCATCATGTGCTCTGCACTGGAGATGTGCACGGTATGTTTAGTTTTAGGCTTTGGTGGTTCAAACGGGCATGTCAAAATGGCAATCTTTGGATTTTTCAATTCCTTTGGCATTTGTGGGTGAGAAAAGTCCTTGTCAATGACGATACCATTGACTAAGCATGTATCTTCAAGACATCCACCCACTTTACCCTCCACCTTAATTAAATCGAGGTTTACATCCCGGCGTTCCATATCAGCCACAGAAAGAACTGCATCAACACAAATCTTTGCGAGGCGATCACGGTCACGATTCACAACCTTAGAGTTCAAAGTGGAGCGAGCAGTACGAAGAAGATACTGGTACTCTTCACGACTGACAGGAACCGTCTCTGAAATCTCTTCAAGACGCTTACAGGCAACTTCGCAGCCCTTCTCAAATCCTTCAGAGATTCGAGAGCTGTGAATACCCTTATCAAGCAGACCGGTAGCTTGCTCTAGCAGAGCACCGGCAAAGCAAACGACACCTGTTGTACCATCACCAATCTCTGAATCCTGTGACTTGCTGAGCTCTACCATGAGCTGACCAATCTCATTATCAATATCCATGAGATCAACAATTGTTGCTCCATCATTGGTAACAACGACATCATTGTCTTGTGTCACGAGAATCTTGTCCATCCCGCGCGGTCCTAGGCTAGTCTTCAGAACATTTGAAACACTCATGGCCGCGAGTATGTTTGCTTTCTGTGCCTCAATCCCAGTGATACGCTCCTTCTGTGACTGTTCCTTCACTAGCAGGAAGGGCCGGCCATACTCGTCAAACGCCAAAGACATGATTCTTCTTTATGTTGTAAGAGCTAGTAGTAAATAACTAATAAAGAAATCAATAAAAAAATAAAAAAAAATAAAGATTAAAAAATACAAACAAAGAAAAAGTATTACGAAAACAACAACAACAACAACAACAAAGTAACAAAGGAAGAAGGATGGTAAAGAATAAAGAAAAAAAAAAAAAGATAACATAAAATACACTACACAAGCAGAAAATGGAATTTACATCTCCCACCTCCCAAACTGAAGAAAAAAAAAAAACATGACTATAGCATAAAGCCAAACACACTTACACACACACTCTTTATATGACCCTCCCTCCAATGAAAGAAGGAGTTTAATTCTATGGAAGAAAAAAAAAGCTATTTTTCTTTTTATGGTAAAAATCCTCATGATTTTTTTTTTTTTTTTTCAGGAAATAGATATCTCTCACTCATCATCTGCAATATATATTGCTGTGGGATCATGAGGTGCAACATCACTTTTATCGGGGTTCACGTGACGATGTTGACCAACAAGAGTTTTCCACATGGAAACAATTTGATCCATACGGGAGGTTCTATCTCCAGATAATGTCTCACGCGGAGGAAGTTCTGCTTTTCTTGGTCGCAAAGTTTTATCAGCATATAAACGGAAAGAAGCCCGTGAATCCCCTAATCCAGTCCTACCGGATCGTCGCGCAGTCAGTTCACCACCAAAACGAGCACGGAAATAGTCTGCTGCCCGGTTATCACTACGAAGAATAACACTCTCATCTGTTCGTGGGGTCCCTATAAGGGCAACCATTGTAAACCGTGGATGGGCATCACTAATAGATTTCTCAGCATTCATCTTTGTACCAAGAAGAACACACAACTGCTGTGCTTTTGACCAGGTGAGGTTATCAACAGAAAAACTCACTTGTGTTTTTTCATAACCAGTTTTGGGTGTACACAGTGACCCTGTATTACACTCCCAACTAAGAAGTTTGCCATCCCCAGTACCGGCCACAACAGCTTCACCATCTGGTAATAACGTCAATGCGGTAACGTAGGGACGTTGGTGAAGATTAATTTCGTGAATCAGACGACATGTAGAAGTATCAAATAAATAGCAAATAGGTAATTTACCGCAAATTACCAATGCACTATTTCCACATATTTCTATACGTGTAGCTCCTGGACAATTAAATCGATGTCGCAATGACATTTGCCAAGTAGGTTTACCATCCTTTATTTTTGCGTACATTGCACGCCAAACCACCACATTTCCCAAAGCATCTACAGACCAAATACGATTAAGTTCAGAAGCACAAAGAGAACGAAAAATAGCTCTATCATTGTCTGAAGCTACGTGAACAAGTTCACAAACACTAGATTCTGTGTCAAAAGATAATTTGGGAATCGCCGTTTTCAAAGAAGAACCTAAGAAATTTTCACCCAAATTTCCAGAATCTCCTAAGAAATCTCTATGTGAACTTGAATCTACAGATGTCCCATCAGAATCATGATAATACCGCCAGACAAATAATCGTGTATCGTAACCACAAGTAATAATATGTTCTTGGAAAAAAATTCCGTCATAAACAGGAAAATCGTGGGGTAAAGTACATAGACAACCAGTTGATTCATCATCAGAATCTCCTGGAAAAGAGAAAGGAGATTCAAGTCGCCAAATTTTTGCAGTTTTATCAGAAGAGCAAGACAAAAGCATTTGACCATCATTAATAAATGCAACATGGTGAATATGTCCAACATGACCACGAAAAATACCTACAATAGGTATTTCAGGTGCTAATGTATTACGTAATTGTATTACATACTCAAATCCACTTGATAAACCAAATGCCATAGTAAAACCATCTTTAGAAAAAGCCACAGAAGTAACAGATCCTTTAACTTGTATTTGTTGTAATACAGTTGTTGGTGGTACAACACGTTCAGAACCATCACGAATATATGAATTTGAAAGGGCACCAATATTTACTAAACTATTTGAAGTATTTTTTGTACGATGTATATTAGAAAGTTGAAGAGATAAACTCATAGAACTTTTAGGTCTCATTTCATCAACAACAGACATTTGATTCAATAGATGTTCTTCGTACGGTAAAACTGTAGCTCTCTTTGGTAAGTACATATCATCATTTATCTTCTTTAAGGAAAGAAGCATACCTGCTGAATAAGGAACTTTTCGATTACGTGGATCTTTAAATATATGAAAAAGTTCTGGTGGTTTACAACGTTTACGATTGATTTTTTCAGGTGGATCTGATGTGTTCGCTTGAGAATCCGGTCCCACTGGGGCACAAGTTGAACTTGTTAATGTTTCCTGATACCCTGAAGGAAAGAAACAAGACGGTAGCATTTGAAGAAATTTTGCGGTACATGAAGCACGTTGAGGAAATGGAAACATTTGAATATCTATAGATTCTTTTAAATTTAATCGACCATATTTATCGTGTAGTTTCAAGAAACCCCAACAAACTGGGTAAAGGCCGTCACGACGTAATGGAAGTCCTTGAATGGTTTCGGAACCAGCTTCAAGTACTTCTAGTAAAAGCATTGCATTTAACGAAGGATTATCAAAAACAGATGGATCTACGCGAAAAGTCAGTTCAGCACCCCACCATGGGGCTTGAGTTTGACGTTGTCGAATATCAACAGGATGTGTTAATGCAAATAATGCTCTTTCATCTATGTTCTGAATAAGAGTTTCACCAGTCTCGGCATTCACAAACCATACACGTACAAATGGATAGACAACAGAAGGATCAGCGTGAAGGGAACTCATTCCATGGACTGTAAGAGAGAGCCATGTTGCCCCAAAACCAGATTCGCACCTAACAAATGAACTACTACTTTGCAAGCCACGAGCTAAAGGAAGAAGGGAAACTGTTTGGTGCCTTCTAATAGCACTACCCCCTTGAGCTTTCCACGCCGTGCTCGTTGAGCCAAGTGGAGTAAAGTAGCCTAAAGATATTTTTTGTGAACGTGATGAGGCACAACCTACCATTGGACTAAGTGTATATGTACCACTTAACGTTAGCAAATCACCACCATCCTGTTTTTTCATCGAATGACGCCTTGATCTTGAATATTCCTCGGGTTCCAAGGTTTCACTCATCTCCTGCGGTGGAGGATTAAGTATCGATGGGAAAAGTACATCTGTTTCCTTTGGTGGTGGTATTGTCTGGTTACGCCCTTCTTCTAATGTAGAGATACTATCACCTGCAGTCACAGTAGCATCAACAGATAAACGAGGTCCCCCTTCTTCTGTAGTGAGAGAAGAAGGACTTGATACCAATGTAAACTTCCCTTCATTTTGCTGTGATGTGGGAGGTGCCAACTCTACCTTGGGAGCAGAGGAGATCACGGCATGTGATGAAGACTGTGGATCAACTGAACCGAACACATGAGTCTCGTTGACAGCCAAAGGTGGTTGAGGAAGCGGCACACTGCGTGCCTCCCTTAACGCGTCCTCTGGCAGATCTGCGGAATTGTCTTCACGCAGCATCCAGAGACTTTTGTATACATATATATATATGTATGTAATAAAAATCAAATAAAGAAACAAACACACGGAAACAGAAAAAAAAAGCCAGGATGGTTAGAGAGGCCAAGGGTAAACAAAAGAAGGAATTAATCGAGCAACTCACAAAGTCAAAGAATAAAAACATATATACATATATATACATATATATATAATACTTGTGTGTTAAAATAAGAATAAAAGAAATAACACAATTTACATAGATACCGCAATACCCTGCGAAATCATCCGTGAAAAAAAAGGTTGTACAACTATTACCCAATCGAATTGTTGCACATTATAAACTAACGCAAACATGACATTTTAAGAAGAAAAAACAAGAAGATAAGTTTATAAATATTGTCGGCAGACTGAAAAAAAAAAAAATGAAAACGTGAAGAAATGCAACTACGAGAGCATTGCCTTTAACTGCACACGGGCTTCTGACAAACTTCCATTAGCAAGATTTAATACTGCCTTAATCATCTCTGTACCAACCTCTGGAAACTCTCTCAACAAAACTTCCTCATTCTCTAACTTTGTTGGTACTTTAATAGGCTCGCCCGTATGTCGTTGGGCCGCATTTGCGCGAGGTGTATTTTGTGGTAAACGAGGTCCCGTTCCCGTCGCACTGCGGTTTACGGCCTCTGTCACTCGTCCAAAGAGAAATCGTGCCTCAAATTGTTCTCGGCCAACATCCGATACCCGTCGCACGTACTCTTCACATGACAACTGTCCAGCCTTTAGCGATCTCTCAAGAAGTTCAAGCGAGTCATCTGAGGCATGAATCTCTCCTAACAGTTCAAGGGCACGGGCCTGTAGTTCATCCGCAGGCACAATACACGTGGAATGCACTTCTGGAGAGTCCGCAATAAGACGCACAGACTCTGTCTTGTGTAACGATCTTTCTGAAAGATTATACATTTGATAAAGATTATTTTTAACTAATCGCATTTCATAAACTTCTTGTAGCATAAATTCTCTTTTTTTGTAAAGGCGACATAATAAAGGAAAGCTTTCCTCTCTCAAGTCAAGGTAAGATTTTGCCTGTCGTAATTGCAACTTAAAAATGGCTCCAGCCGCCTCTTTTAACAAACGTACCCGAGACTTGTTATTAATAATCACAGGTGAAGGAGTGGTTATTCCCTTTAGTGGAGGTAACTTAGCCTTCATAATGGGGTATGTTGGTTTATCTAATGAACCAAGGGTAACAGTAGTCGTAATACCTTCTCCTTGAGAGTAGTTTTGACTATCCTTATTGTTACAGTAGGACTCAGCTCCTTTAGCAAAACAGTATATATCCTCCTCCATTTCTCTCTTCACTGCCTCTATGATCCTAATGATAGGATAAGGAGACTGTATATTACTCAACATTGTTAAACGTTGAAGTGGTACAATAAAACCATCTAAAAATGCATTATCCGTTAATTTTTGGTTGAGATCCCGTATTCGTACACGACACTTTGGGGATGAGGCTGGAAAACCATGTGGTATCATAACACCAACGTCCACCAAGTATGCAGTAGATCTATCTTTGGGAAAAGTACGTAAAAGGAAACATAGGGAAATTGCACGTCCTTTATCTTTCTCTACAATATTTATATGAGCAGGATATTTCATGGAATGTGGTAAAAATTCTTGAAGATATCCCGCTACTGCATAAGCTGAAGAGTGGTTCTTATAAATATCAATTAAATTAGAAGGGCTAGACCAGTGCTTTAGTGATGCTTCAAAATCCAGCTTCCCTGGAGCTGCGGTTGTCGACTCAATCATTAGAATGGATAAATCCCTTAAAACCTCCTTTCAAATAATTCCTTATGGATGTAAATATTATGTAATATCTATGCGTCTGTATGTATGTATGTATGTATGTATGTATGTATGTATGCGTATATTCTTTATATATATGTAGATAGCCGCATAAAAGAGATGTACAACTAGTAACTAAACAAAGTCATGATACAAAAGGAATATAAATATATATA